GTGGGCCACCCTGCCCAACGGACACTTCAACCGCCGTCCGGATACGGTTTCCAACAGTCTGTCCAAAGTAGCTGCCGCTGACTGCCTGCATTCTCTTGACTACTTGCCTATTGAAGATGGCCGGGTGAAATATGAAAAACAGGTATCTTGCTACGTTTGACGTCATTTCTGTTTCTCTCGCCTTGAACTGTTCTGCTGCGTATAATCATGTACAGTTAGTTACCTTGCTGATCGTACTGTACATGATTATAGTTTGATATGTTTTCGTGTTATATACTTCGTGTCGAGCTACACCAGTCCTCATACTACCTACAGGCTTACCGAAGCATCTAAACAACAAGATCTTCTTCCCGCCTTCCAGTTGGAGTATCTGCGTTTTCCAAATGGAATGGAGTCCTCATCCACCCTTAATATGCCATGGTCGATGTTATACTACTCGTAGATCGTCATGATTAGTGCCGTTCGTGGCTGATCGCTGTCTGCCTTTGTCATTTCTATAACTACTGCGTCGAGCATTTCTCTGGGAGCTACGTCAGGTATTACTCGCCTACTGTCAGCATGATAGTCATGCTTGGATCGCTCTCTCGCTTGGGTGACTCTCCGTGGTACTCATTCTCGATGCTACTGAACTGCATCTCCTCTTTTGAGCTGTTGGTACTCACATACTTCTTTGTCGCCTTTTCTAGTTTTGACGATCTCGGACTTCTTGTGATCATTGTCGATATTTGGTCGACTCCGGGTTATATGTGGCCATATGATGTTTCAAACAGTACTAAAGTAGAAAAGGTGTTATCAAGCGTCAAACAGAGCAACATAATAAGAGGTGCTGTGACCCGGGATCGAAAGAGGGACCTTCAGATCTTCAGTCTAACTGCTGCGTCTCTATTTCTGTGTAGCCTTGCTTTTGCCTAGCATCCTCTGTATTAACTACAAGCTATAGGGCGGATAATTAGACTCCAGAACCTGCACTGCCACGTCCGGCGGTTTACCCCTCCCAGGGTTCTTTAGGGCCTTCATACTGGAAGATACGAAATGGAAACCGCACCTCGAAATTCAAAAGATTCTAAATTTAGGCCGGGTACACTTTGATCTTTCGAGTGCCGACAGCTGGTACTGGTCTGCCGGGGTTTGTTGGGTGAGCTGCTGATTCAAAAGGTACAAATTTGAACAATACAATTTATTATAGACGTTTTTCAGCTTTACCCTTAAACAGAGTAAAGTTTGACTTCAGGAGTACGTATTATCATGCGCGCAAAGGATGGAATCACACGCTTCACCCACGAGCAGACCGAGAGCCTCCACAATACCTAGGTACCTACCTGGTTTTGCCTTTACTTTTCAAATGTGTTCTATATCCAAAGTTAAGCTAGTTTAATCGATACTTAGTACATCTGCATTTACTATCTACTATGGTAAAGCTGTGTACTGCGCCAGCAGTCCACGTTGAGCATAAACCTCTTTTTCCAGAAGGCCATTCCCTCTTTCGTATCAGTACTTTCCATACCTCATCAAGGCACCATGCTTTTACTCTTTTTAGTTTGACATTATGTCCAAAAAACTATTGTAATACTAGTGTACGATGTTGTGGTGTCCGCTTTATACTTTTGAGGCGATTGCAGTGCTGGAAATAAACAACGGATTTTTACGAATAGTGATCGGGCTATCATTTATTAGTAGCCTCAAGAAATCGATCACTTTTGACAGGAGGTCTACAATTCGTAGAGGGCTACTATATCTCGATGACATCAACGTCTTCCAACGCTTGGTCTAGTTCGTCTACATTGAAGGAATCACCTCTCTTTCACTGTCGGCATTACTCCACCTCTGCTGAAATTTCCACCCGTAAACA